TATTATTACTACGCGATAGACTGTGCACTTGCAGTTAATTGAGTTAGACATAGAAAGTCGCGATCAATGGTGCACAACTCGTGTACATGCTTAAAAGTTGAAATGAAGAGGTATCTGCGTGCCATCGCTCTAGAAATAAATCAGGGTTAATATAACCATATCCAGTCATGCATAAATCCTTCAGCTTGGATAGCTTCAAGAAATCCTGAAACCATGGTTCATCGGATTGCGGCAGCTTTGCAAACTTCCTACCGTGGTTAATACATTTCAACGTATCACGGTAGTGCAAAAAAAAAATACATCACCGTCAGACAGTTAAATTATTATAACACAGACCTTTAAAAGAGTAATTAAAGATTTATGCTACCTCTCTATTCCACACATGCTTAACACCATGGTTTGCATAGATAAGTAGTAGTGAAATGTATGAGGGGTCTCCGGAAAATTATCGGGCATAACATCATCAAATACAACAAGAGCTTTTGAGGCAGTAATGACTTCATGATGAGTCGGAGACACATGAATACGGGAAGAAGATGTCAGAGATAGATGAACCCGGAAAGTCGATGTTTTAACATCAAATGAAATTTCTCCAACTGCGGGTTGCAAGGGTTTAGCTTACTCGTTGCGATTGAGAGTATGTTGGTTCACTCTACCATGTCATATTCTTTCTTGGTTGTCAAACTTTTTTCTATAATCAAACAAGAAAAATCATATCATAACCAAAGAAAGTATTAGCAAACCGAACCAAAAAACAGAAAATTGGTATATTCAAATTTTGTTATCCGGACAAAGGGTTCAAATTTCAAAATTTGGAATGGACGAAACCTGAACAGATGAACCAAAAATAACACATGTGAACTCTAAGCAACAAAGATTCAAAATTTCATGCAAAACAGTTTTGGACAAAAAAAATATGACATATCTATTGTATTTAACCTAATGTGTCATACTTATAAATATTTAGGTAATGTATGCCCTTCAAATAAAAAAAGTGAGAAAATGAGTAACTTATCAAATATTTGCTTTATTTGATATTTGATTGACTGTAGTGGAGTAGAACTTAAGACATGCATTAAGCTTGAATATATACAATGGAATAAATTTTTTGAGAATGTTTCAAAAATGATGGAACAAGAGTATGCTCACAAGCTCTATTTTCTCTATTTGCTAAAATGGAAAAAGGAAAGAAAAGAGAAAGGTTTGGGCTCAAATACTTAAAGAGAAGCCTTGGATTTCCAATCTCCGTAGAAATTTTCCAAATATTAAAATTCAGACTTTTTAAAAATGTGTGTTGGTGTGGTTCTGCGATTGAGTATAAATGTGGTGTGTTAAATGCGTTCAAAGTTTAATATTTGTAATATATTAATCTGAATTCCAATATTAATATAATTTTTTACACTTGTGTTAATGTGTTTTAGAGAGAGTTTATTATGTTTTTAGTGTGTCTGACATGTAAAGTATTGAATAATTCTCAAATGGAAATTTTACCCCATACCCCTACAATTATACTTATACCCCTACAATTTTAAAAAAATACCAATTTTATCCCTGTATGTTTTTTATTAAGTTATTTTTTATTTACTTTTTACTGTCATGTGTCAAATTTTTAGAGTTCCAAAACATTCACCCATCGAGTCTTCCGGAACACTTTTAAAATGACACCCGGTATGTTATTTTTTTGAAATTTGAAGTCTTTGGCAAAAAGTTCCGGTTTATACACAATATATACCAGAAGAGTTTATCAAAGACTTCCAGTTTGCATTTTTCGTAGAATTTTTATCAGAACACTTTTCTTTAGAGTTTCGATACTTGTAAAAAGCGTACCGGAACACTTTTTACAAGTCTTCCGGTTTGGTAACTTTGGCTACCGAAACTCTTTTCCTGAGTCTTGCGGTTTTCTTTTTTATTTTTTTTTTATTTTTTTTATTTTTTATGCAGGCACATAAATTCCTTTACAAATATGCAATAAAGATCAGATATGTGTAGATACATCTGATGTTTTTTCAACTACTCAAAGATTTGGTACACGAGAAGAGGTGATAAAATGGATTAAAAAGATCGGAATCCGAAATAAAGTAGCGGTTATCATCACTCGTTCAGATATTGAAACAGGCAAGAGAGGAAGAAGTAACAAATTAATATTTGGATGTGATAAAGGTGGAAAACACAAAGATATTGACAGTGGAACCCAGAGTGCGACGAAAAAATATGGATGTCCATTTAGAATCAGATCAATTCCAGTGATTAATGTATCTGGATGGAAGATTGATGTAAAATGTGGAGTTCATAACCATGATTTACCTGATAGATTAGAAGGTCACACATTTGTTGGTAGGTTGACAGCGGATCAGAAGTAATATGTTGTTGATTTGACAAAGAGAAAGGTTCTACCTAGACATATATTGCTTTCATTGTAAGAGCAGGATCCAGATAATGTCCCTCAGATCACGCAAATATACAAGCAGAAGAGTATGATAGAAAAAAATATAAGAGGTCCTAGAAGTGAGATACAACATGTGTTTAAGCTTATTGAGGATGCAGGTTATGTTTATTGGAGTAGAAAAAGAGCTGACTCTGAAGTTATTAGAGATATATTTTAGGCTCATCCAGATTCAGTTAAGTTGTTGAATATTTTTCCTATTGTGTTAGTTATGGACAATACTTACAAGACAAACAAATATAGGCAACCTCTGTTTGAAATTGTTGGCATGACATCAACCGAGTTGACTTTTGTTGTCGCATTTTCCTATATTGAGTCTGAGCAGACTGAGAAATTTTGTTGGGTGCTAGATAAGCTTAAACAATTGTTTGTGAAGAAATATTTGTGTCCACAAGTGATTTTGACAAATAGAGATCTTGGTTTGATGAAAGCCATTGAAATTGTGTTTCCAAGGTCGATCAATTTGTTATGTCAATTTCATATTAACAGGAATGTTGGTGCAAAACGGAAACAATATGTGGCTAGTGACATGCAAAAGAAAATTGACGAATTATGGACTAGTGATGAGGTTGAGTATGATCAAACGTTGAACCAACTTGAGCAGGCGTGTGTTGATTGTAATGAATTTATTGATTACGTGAAGGACATATGGTTAACACCACATAGACAAAGATTTGTTGGAGCATGGATTAATTGAGTGCTACATTTGGGTAACACCACGACTAATCGGTATGTATTTATTTTTAGTATTTCTAAATTGTATATCTTTTTTGAATTTTTAAAAAAATATTTTTAATATGTATTAATTTTAGGGTTGAGTCTACTCATTAGAAGTTAAAGCAAATGTTGGGGAACAGTATTGGTGACATGGTCAAATGTTGGGAGGCTATGAATGACAACTTAAAGTTACAACTGGGCAATATTAGAGCTTCTTTTCAAAAGAGTTTTTATGAAGTTAAGCACGCCCACGTAAGTCCATTTTACAATAATTTACGTGGTTCAGTGTCTCGAGATGCATTGAGACGCATTGTTGAAGAGTTAAAACGAGTTGATTATGTTGGAACTAACAAGGAAATATGTCGTTGTACTCTTAGAACAACCTACGGATTACCTTGTGCTTATAAGTTGACAGGATATAAAATTGATGGTATACCAATACCAATAGATTTTGTGCATGTTCATTGGAGAAAACTAAGTATGGAAGTTAAGTTGGACGAAGACGTAGATGATGGATCAGAGGTGGATATGAGTAGTGCAATAGATGAGTTATGGAAAAGTTTTAAGTCACTGGATGTTGTTGGGAAAAGGGCATTAAAAAGTAAGGTTTTTGAACTTGTCTTTCCCACAATGACTTCTATGTGTCCACCACCTGAGAAAATAAAAACTAAAGGGGGAGTAAAGAAGAAAGACAAAAAAACCAGTAGGGTATGATGTTTATAGATACCCTTCGTATCATGAGTATGTTGATCAAGCATCGCAATCTTCACAGAGGCAATCTCAACCATCACAAACTTCGAAGAAGTTGAAATTATCACAGCCTTCACAAAAGAAATCCCAACCATCACATGCTTTGAAGAAGTTGAAATTATCACAATCTTCACAGTCATCTAAGCAGTTCATCCTTCAGTTTCCTAATCACATCAGGTCATATATTGATGATGTAGTTAATGTTGTATCAGATGGTAATTGTGGATTTAGAGTCATTGCTTCATTGCATGGATATGGTGAAGATGGTTGGCCAATGGTTCGTCGAGACTTGGGGTTGGAAATTATACATAATGAAAGATCAAGTTTATATGCCAATTTATTTACTGATCAGTTAGCAGTAGTGAGATAATCTTTGATGATAGAGGAATTTGGTCCTCAACCACCACATAAATGGTTAACTCTACCAGATATGGGTTACGTGATAGCGAATCATTATAATGTTGTACTTGTCTGTTTAGGAATTGAATGCTGGACTTTCTTTCCTATGAAAACTTCATTTTCACCAAATGTAGCGATTTACTGCATTGGTTTTATAAACAGAAATCATTGAGTTCAGGTACTTAGTTATTTTTAGATAATGCGATTAAACCTAATTCTTTTTCGTTATTTTTACTTAATATTTTGATTATTTTTTTATTTAGGTAAACATGAAAGAAGGGTTTCCATTGCAACCAGTGACAATAGATTGGAAGAAGTTTTGTTCTCCAGCAGTAACATCTTGGATACTAGGATTTGCAGGACGTCTACAACATTGGCAACAACTTACACCTATATTACCAACGCATTATGAATTATTAATTATGTTACTCATTTTTTATTTCAAAACATGAATCATGAATTATGTTATTCATTTTTAATTTCAAAACATGAATCATGAATTATGTTATTCATTTTTAATTTCAAAACATGAATCATGAATTATGTTATTCATTTTTTATTTCACGCTACAAGTTAACACATAAACATAAACCAACTAGGTCAAATGAGTATAAAAGTTAACACATAAACATAATCCAATTAGGTCAAATGAGTCTAAAAGTTAACATATAACCATAAATATAAATATAAGTCACAATGATCGAGCAATATGTAAAGCTTCGAACAAATCAGCAAATTGCGGATCTTCCTCTTCAGCACCAGCCTGTTGAAGATAACGATGAATCAATGAAGACATACGAGCCCAGCTAGGATCAGATGGTCCTGCTTCATATACAGGAACTGACATCTCTGTTGGCGCATCACGATAAGGCGGTATCAGACGAGGATGCGAAACACGATAATACCACTGAAGATATCCATCATCTGTCTCATATGGGGTGGTGGTCGGTGCTGTCAGACGAATCACATCCTGAACGCTCTGATGGTAACTAATCCAGTCAACATCAATATCACCAGCCATCGTATAATCAAGAGGTGGATGTGGAACATACTGCTTGTATCCAAACTGACGCATACATCTGTCAAGCAAGTATGGAACAATAGTGTCACCCCACCTCAGACACCCCCTATATAGACATAACTCATCAAACGGACGCCATACTCTATGATTCTCGAATGGGCGCCATATGACACCGGCAGGTGTCAGCTCGTCCAGAATAGGTCGCAAGTCATCCACCTTCAAGGCATCTTGCCTATAGGACCATCTCATCGCTCGAGGGAGACCCACATTATTAGCTGGTATCCAATTCTCTCCTTTTTTTCTAAGTGTTGGAAAATACTCATGAATCCAGCACTGTTACAAAATTAATATTGTTACTAAATTTAAAATAATTAATTATAACATAATAAACTAGATAAATAAAATTAATATACTAGATAAAATTAATTAAAACAAAATATACTAAATTAAAATAAATACATGTAGGAGAGTCGGATAACCACCAAGCTGCTTACAACTGAACATGGAAGCATCTCTGAGATATCTATAAAGGGTAACCAACACAGCTGCTCCCCAACTGTATCCCGATAAGCCATCCAAGTCTATAAATAGTGAAAGGTATCGTGCTTCGACGAGCGTAAACGTCTTGTCCGCAAAAATAGTGGAACCCACTAACATCAACGAATAAGCTCTAGTGGCATAATCCCATATAGAAGCGGCTCTATGCTCTATGAATCGATCATATAACCACTCCAACTTATAGTAGGAACCCCTGCAGTCACAAACTTGTTGTTGCGCTACTCTCCGTGACACTCCTAAATAATCAACAGTCCACTCAACAACAAGCGTTTCACTGATATCTTGAGGGCTCCAGAAGACTCCCCTGATGGGCAAGTGAAGCAGGCAAGAGACGTCATCTAGAGTAATCGTCATCTCACCAAACGACATGTGAAATGAAGATGTCTCTAGATGCCATCTCTCTGCAAATGCGGAAACCAGGTTCGTGTCTATCTTCGTCAAACTGGTTCTCTGGAGTGAAGTTAGACCAGACCTAGATATCCAACCCTCCATCTCTCTTGGTAGTTTTAGTGGAACTCTCTGAATCAACTTCAACCCATGTCCCGTTACCTTTAACTCTTTCTTCGACCCTCTCTCCTGAAAACAATTAAAAGTAAATATATTATAAAATTCAATATTAACTAATTTTCTTTTACTTAACTCACCGATCCATATACGTCTAGCAATATGATGTTCATATTTAACTAAAAGAGAGGTATCGTACGGTCCTCCTGGATATCCAACAGGCTCGGATGCTGATGCAGATGCATCAAAATGCTCTTCTTCAGCCATTCTCGATGACTCGCCCGTCCTAGTCCGCGAGAAGGGATCCTACCGTCTCTGCCTCGTGTGCGCACCACTGCCAAAAAAAAATAAATAAATAAAATTTAAAATTTAAAATTAAAAAAAAACATGAATCGGAAGACTTGCAAAAAGACTTCCGGTGAACAAACGAATAAAAATATGAACTGGAAGACATACTTAAAGTCTTCCGGTGAACAAACGGAAAAACACAACAAACAAGAAGACTTACTATTAGAGTTCCGGTATATGTGGGTGAGAAATGTAGTTCCGGATGACTTTGGCGAAAAGTTCTGGTTTGCATGTGAAAAAAGGGTGCTCCGGAAGTGTTGAAGTGCAAATGAAATGGAAATGTAAAATTTCTAAAATTATAACTATTTATACAAAAGTATTTTGGTCCAAAAATTTTTAGTGTAGAAGTATGGGTATAAGTGAAAGGGTATGGGATAAAATTTTCTTCTCAAATATAAGTTAACCAAATTTTTTTTTTTTAAATTATAAAAGTCCAATTCTTGATGGGCCTGAAGGTCCTCTTTTGTACACAAAATAAAAGACGAATGCTTACCCAAAATAAAAAGTCCGACATAAAATTGCTATATAGACCAATAATATTACTTTTTCTTGTTCCTTCATATCATGTTGACATAATGACATTAATTTTATTTTTTCGGTTTGCATCACAATCTCATTTTGAAAACAAGTTCGTTGTTTTACTGATTTTTAATTTATACATTATCAGAGATTAGCTTTTTTAAATAATTTTTAAAATTTTTTTGGATGTAAAAGATACTAGTACAGTTTAATATGAGGCTTTTTACAAGTCCCAAAAGTCACTGCAATATAAATTTTCCTCTAAGATTACTACTAGTAATAAATTTTTAAATTGAAGGTTTTCGCAATTAATCATCCTAAAAGGAAAGTAAATTAAATTATATTTAAGTGACACGTTCACATGATATGGTTTGGTATGGTCACTTTACTTTAAACCACTGCTATTTTGTGACCGTTTTATTAAAACTACAAATCCTAGGTGGTTCTACTACTTAGCATTACACAAGTGTTGATGCTTGTGAGTTACTAATAACACATTAATTACGGCTAACCAATTGGATAATCACATTATACCTATAATATATTAAGAGAAAGTCTTTTCTGACAATTTTGTATAACACAAATTATCTTATTAAATATCATTGCAGTTTGTGTTTTGAATACAAAATGTGTTTGAAGATTTTATGGTTAAAGATTTAAGTGTTATGTGTCTACTAGAGATTGTTCACCACTACACATAAAAGTTTTAATCTATATTTATTGGGGGGAGTCTAAGAGAGTGACGAGCACAAACGTGACTAATGCTTCAATATTATAAGAGAGAAAGACATCAACATCTCCGGTTAAAACTTTTATGAATTAAGTAAATGAGTTATCTCTCTTATAAATTTAACATTTCACTCATTCATAGACAATGTAGAACTTTAACCACTTACACTTCCACTTAACATTCTCTCTTATAAGTGTGAGTCTATTACATCCTATAACAGGATCCAATGTCGGATCCAGACTCTGCTCCCCGATAAAGTCAAACAACGGCTTTGATATCTTTGTTGGTTCGATAAGTATTCTTAATATGCTCTGTGGTTGCAATTTTCTCTAATCTTCCACATCAGAAAAGGAAGGTAGTGTTGTAAAAGAGTTTATGAGTTGTAGTCACAAATTTTGTTATGCAGCTTAGGCTAGACAAAATTGATGAAATAATTTTTTGACTTGTGGAAAATTTAAGTCAAAGATGTGTTTATACAATCAAGATTACACAAGGTGCAAGATTATGTCAGTGGTTGAAGATCTTTCTGCTAACAAAGAAGTTACACCATAAAGTTTCAACCTGATTTTCGACTGTGAAGATTCTTGAAATGGTTTAACTTCAAGTGAAATTTATTCTTCATTATAAAGTATATGATTTTCGGTAATTACAATGTAAAATTCTTGAAGTGGTTCATCTTCAAGTGACATATATTTTTCATGAGAGAGTATGATTGTTTTTAAAACTATGATTGTCAATAAAGATAATGTGAAAATTCTTGAAGTCGTTTATACTCAAGTGAAATATACTCTTTTTTACATGGACTATAATAGTTTTTTAAAATTATGATTGTCAGAAGTACAAATAGTGGAGATACCTCTGATACCACTATTGGAAAATCAGAGAGAGTCAGAAGTACCAACGAGATTAATGCTCCAAAACTACAAGAGAGTGAGACACCACATCTCCATCTAAAATTTAAAGTGTTAAGGTAAATGAGTCATCTTTCTTATAAATCTAATATTCTATCCATTTATAAACAATGTGGAACTTTAACCACTTACACTAACATCTAATATTATTTAAGTTTAATTTGACATATTTAATAATAATTCTAGACTTATATTTTTTTAAAAATTATTAAATTAATTAAATTAGATGTTATTAAAAAAGAATATAAAACTTGATAGATCAGCTTTTATATGAATGTTTATAAAAAGTAAATTAGTCTATTTTAAAATAGGTAAAGTAAATTATTCAAATGTTTTAATTTAAAAAAGAAAACATTTAAATAAACTTTAAAGTCATGTCAAACTTTTAATAAAGTTAGACTAGTAAAAAGAAATTATAATAAATTACATTTGAATTTATGATAGATTAGATATATGTTTTCTAAATGTGCCTTGAACATATCTATTCTCACGTCCAATTAAGAAATTAACCTCTTTTTTTTTTTTTTATCTTTGTTTTGTTCAATTAAAACTACATAAACCTAGGTGAGAATTTTTTTCAAGTTTAATCAGAGATTTAAGTTCGAATTTAGATAGATATACAACATGATTAAATTCTTTTAAAAAAAGAATTTTATTTGTAATTCAATTCGGTTTGAAGAATTGTTCTCTAATACAATTAAAATCTGACCTAATCCAACCTTATAAAATCTATTGATAAAGTAAAAGGTGTCACTCTAGATTTGTGTTTTTCTAATACACCCCCTCACATCTAGTACTATTGAATTTCGTGCGTGAATATAAACGGTGCGTGACCCGAATTATAGATATAGGAGATTTGATTTTTTCAATACACCCTCCTTACGCTCAACACTTTTTGGACTTGGTGCACATATATAAATGGTGGATAATCGATAGGCTCGTGATACCATGATAGAATTAGAGTTTGACCTAACTCAATCCTATAAAACCGATCGTTTGTAGATTATATTTTTAACCAATGAAAAACTTGAGTTTTTTCTAATATTCTCTACAATTACGTGCAGATAATATCTTGATTTTCTAAATCAATTTTAAATAGAAGTTAATAAAAAAAATTAATATATTTAATTTAAATATTTATATATTTATAAATTCAATATACTTTTATACTAATTTTTTATATTCAAGACGGAAGAATTTCATTTATAAATGTGCCCACTACCTATGATAACTCATTCCATATATAGTATCATAATTAATGTACTAACAACGACCATTTACCGTTGACCTTGCAATTAATCATGTCTTTACCATTTTTATCATATTTTCTTCAGGTTTACTAAAACTATATATATTGATGGTGAAATTAGAAATTAATTCAATTGTTGTGACTTAAATATTTTGGGATATGCATCAAGATTTTAGAAAACTATATTTGAATTTTACATTAGAATTCATGACCATCATAAATATAGACCAGATATGCAAATTGAGCTCAAATTCAAAATTAATTGTTAGACATTTGAAGTAAGTTTTTATGCTCCAAACTTGAAAATGATTATGACAAATAAGTTTTCAATTTCAAAAGGTAAAATCTATCTATAGAAACGAGGAATTCTTATCAACTAATACTTCTATTTTATTTAATAGAACACACGTTAAATCATTTGTTACGTTACAAACATTACTTTTATTAGTACTAATAATTTCATATTCCAAGTAGTTGAACGGTTTAGTCCAAGTTAATTGTTTCCACAACAACCGATACTACGAGAAGAATAGTCAAACTGAAAAATAAAAATAAAAATAAAAAATAAATAAAACTTAATAATTTAGGGTTTAAATAGATATATTTGTCAATCTTCTGAGATTAAAGAATGGGGTCTGTTTTACAATTTTGAGACTAAATAAATATATTTATCATATTATATTATATAGGCTAAAGCTTTCAGGATTAAATAGATAAGTTTATCATATTTAAGGGGTTAACAAATAAACATTTAAGAGATTAATTGAAATACATTAATTATACATTGTCCTCAAATCATAATTCATCATTTTAACACATAAGAAAAGAAAAACATGAAAGAATTAATTATTAAAATTGTTTAATTATTATATATTTTTTAATGTTTAATTTCATGTTTATATATTAAAATAATTAATTTTGATTGAATAATAATATAAAATAATTTTACACTGAAAATGTATTTTAATTAATCTTTAATATTAAAAATGTAATTGTTTACGTGTAAAAACACAACACGATAAATTGGATGATTCAACATGTTTAGTTGAACGCACACATCATCGTTAATTAATAAAAAATGTTATACGTACAAAAGCATTGTATCATGTTTTTGAGAGATCTCAAAAATATTTATAATTATCAAAATTCATTCTATTAAAAAGTTTTAAATTTTATCACCTAAAAAAATTGAGAGTTGAAGATCGATCATCAAAAGTTTCATTCATTTTATTTATAATTTTATTTTCACTCTTTTGTCGTAATTTTTCTAAGAATGATCAGCTAGCTTTATTTGATTAGGCTCATTTTGATATAATTGTCAAAGATTGTGTGAACTATGTGGTTCGTTGAGTACTATTCACGGTAATGATAAACCATTTTATTATTTAATAGTTATTTGTGCGTAATTGTTTTTAT